GTCACCATACTTTTTGGTACGTCGATTACTGTCTGGGCTCGCTTCAAACACATGTTCCTCTTCTCCTCACCTGGTTCTTGTCTCGGACTCCCTGGGACAATCAAAATCAACTTGTTCCCAGGCCTGAGCCTGGGGAGAGGTTTCATTGGGACATCCATGCCAGAAACTCCATACTCCACTCCTCCCTGTTCACGTTCTCGGACTTTGAGGTTCAAGAAACCTCTCACGCTTCCTCCTAGACTACTAAGTGGCACAGCTTACGTCGTCTGTCCAGGTTTTCCTACCTACTGTCTCCTCTCCCTCCGACGGAAATCGTCACACGTCAAGTAGTCTCTGTCGTTTCCTCTCGTCAAAGACAACTTCACTGGACGGAACTTTGGTCTGACCACGCCTAGGTCTTTCCAACAAGACTACCTCTCCTGTCCTCTCAACAAATTTTCTGTCGCGCAAGTTCACAAAATCTGTCCTTGCCTCCTCTCTCTGTCGGACATCAAATTATTGTAGTCTGCCAACTTCTCACCCAAAGAAATCCTCTTCCCAATGAGAACGGAGGAACTCTGACCAAACCTTTCACTGGTCTTCAATCTCTTTCACAACTACTTTACCACTCTTTGCCATACTTATAGGCCTCGCTGTCAGGCTTCCTCCAAAACTCCCCTATACCCAGTCTCCTGTCCACCATCCTTGCCGTCTCCATTACTCCCATTCTTGGAGTGAACCTCTCTCTCCCCTCTTCCTCCAGTCACACGCCCACACTTCCCTCCCAGACCACTGGGTACGCCACTCATTTCACTCAGTCTTTTCTTCTTCTCACCTTATAGTAGTTGGAAGAAAAGTTTCACCAATTGTTTCAAACGAACTGTCTTCCCTCTCTGCCCCTTCCCCGAAACCCCCCAGGTTCTCCCACCTCTTCTATCTTTTATCAAAAAACCCTAACCTTATCCTCTAACCTAGAATAGAACTTTCTTTCACCGAAAAACGGGACTCTCTACCTTGTTCTTTCTCCTTACGACACCCAACTAATTCTGTCCTTTCCCCCGCTCAGAGACCCCAGGTCGTCGCACGCATCTCTGCTTGCCTAGCAGACATCTCTCAGTGGATGTCTGCTCATCACCTCAAGCTAAACCTTGACAAGACTGAACTGCTTTCCTTCCGGGAAAAGATTGTCCCCACTCTTGACCTAACAATCAACATCGGCACCTCTGTTGTTTCCTCGACTCAGACTGCAAGGAATCTGGGTGTGACCCTAGATAACAAACTGTCCTTCACTGCAAACATCGCTGCTACAACCCGCTGCTGCAGATACACTCTTTACAACATCAGGAGGATACGTCCCCAGCTGACCCAGAAAGCGACGCAGGTTCTGGTCCAGGCTCTCGTCATCTCACGCCTAGACTACTGCAACTCCCTCCTGGCTGGTCTACCTGCCAGTGCCATCCGACCTCTGCAGCTCATCCAGAAAGCAGCGGCTCGTCTGGTCTTCAACCTTCCAAAATTCTCACACACCACGCCGCTCCCTTCACTGGCTTCCGGAAACTGCTAGAATCCACTTCAAGACACTGGTACTTGCGTACCATGCTGCGAATGGATCTGGCCCTTACTACATCCAGGACATGGTTAAACCGTACACCCCAGCACGTGCACTCCGCTCTGCATCAGCCAAACAGCTCGCTGCACCCTCACTGCAAGGGGGACCCAAGTTCCCATCAGCAAAAACTCGTGGGTTTGCTATCCTGGCTCCAAAATGGTGGAATGAGCTCCCCATTGAAATCAGGACAGCAGAAAGCTTACACATCCTCCGGCGCAGACTGAAAACTCATCTCTTTCGACTCCACTTTGAGCGATATAATTACTAACAAAGCACTTATATACTAATAAAGGGCTGGCTTATCTAAAGCCAGTTGAGTAGCACTTGAAATGTTTGGCTCTATGAAACCTGATGTACTTATATGATTCTGTTTTCTTCAAGGTTGTATCTTCCTGGTCGAATGCACTTATTGTAAGTCGCTTTTGATAAAAGCGAGAGCTAAATGCAATGTAATGTAATGTAAAGTAGATTGACTTTGTTTGAATAGCATCATTTCTACCACAACACTTGATAAGAAGACATAATACTTGATGAATGCAGTGCAAAAGACATTCAGAATTATGGGTTCCAGCCTATTATGCCAACATTTTAAGTAGATCTTCTAACTTTTTCAATGGACAACAATGTCATGTTTTATGTTACAAAAAAGGTTCTCAATTCAAATTTCAGAGCATAAATATAGCAGCCAACTATTAAGCTATGTAATGATGAATTGTGAATGTGAATTTACTTCACTAGAGGCAAATGTTTTTTGTCCCTTCACTGGCTTGGAAAGTACATGAATTGGAAAAGAATGACAATTTTGCGCATATATGTCCGTAGCCTTAAACTGTAGGAACCCTGGTAAACATTTTTTTTTTTACCCGTAGGACAACTGGGCATTTTGATAAAAGACATAGATTGAGCAGTGAGTCGTCTACTGGTTAATACAAATTGTCACAAAAAGTCTTAAATTACCTCTTCCAACTTTGAATAATTCACTGAATCAAAAAATGCTACGAGAAATTCTCCCCGGTTTAAAAAAAAAAGTGTGTGCTCTTTGGACAAGATATTTGAGCTATCCTTCTAAATATGGATCAAATCCAAAGCAAAACCTTGTTGATTGTTTAATTTCTTATATTCCAGTACATAGGCTTATAATACCTCTACCAACAGTAAAAGCAGCTATTGTTTTTTAGGTTTTGGACTAAAGCTGAGTCGTGAGAGAGAACCATGAGTAGATCTGTGAAAGTGACATTTTAAGGACTTAATATACTTGAGGGGTTTGCATACATCTTTAGTGTATCATAGACAACAGAATTTAGTCCAAAAACTAAATTGTTACTTTTTAATTATTAAAACTAAAACAGGGAAAAGTGTTCAACCTCTCCAATTGCCTAAAGGTTTTTCTAGATCAACACATGACTGGTTTTGGTTGTAGAATTTGATACAAATAAAAAATTGGAATAGGTAGAAACTGAAATGTGATATCTCTCATGCTAGTAGGTAGAGCCTGGTTGCAGTATTTGAGCATCGGGACCTGCATAGGTTTTTTGTTGGACATATAAGAGAGATCCTCGAGAGGTTATTGACAGAGAGAGTTTCTGTCAATAACCAATTCCTCCTGGGATCAGTGTGCTCTACTGGCAGTGCAGTCAATGAAACAGATCTGCAGACAGCAGCTGGAAGTCTTGAGCAATTTAAGAAAATACTGTAGTTTTCACAGCGGGAGGAACCCTCTATGTGTTCAAATAGGGCTGAGCTCTGATGTCGGGTGGATGGGTTCGCCTGCTGGATGCTGACTATGAGCCTGCAATGACTCAGGAGGAGGATGAGGGAGGGAGGCATCAGTCAGCAGATTTTCTGCTGTGAGGGAGGGGCTACTGAGGGGAAACCCTGCTCTCACTCCGCCCACTCCTTCTTCTCTGGCTAAAGATTGATGGCATGAATTAATTTCCATGCGGCAATCCTTTTCTCCATTGGCTGAGAGGCTCATTCCACGGCTTGACGATTGAACCTGCTAGTATGAGCTGCAGTGATTGGTCGGGCTCAGCTGCAGTGAGGATGCAGGTTTCTGCAGGTTCTCTTTACTGCATTTCTTTGGCTGCTGCTAGTGAAGCCGGCAAAATGGCAAATCCTGACTGCTGGTGCTGCTACAAATAATTCCTCAACCTAACAAGAAGTACTTGGAGTGCAAAATTCTGGGTCATTCCTCAGAAGTAACACAGCAAGAGTTGGATATGAGAATTTAGTTTTTATCCTGCTGCTTTTTTTTTACGTCTGTCGACCTGAGCCTGGCTGTCTGTCAAGTGAGTGATGTAATGAGAAAAGATCCAGTAAGAAGATGAGACACTGAGCTGGACCAGTGAGTAGGAAGAAAGAGGAGAACTCAGCCCCACTCTGTCCTCAGCTGACCTTTCCACACCTTTTCTGCTATTGCATGTCTTTGATTTCAGCCAGCAGCACACAGTGAAGTTTTGTTGCTGCGAGACACACTTAGTCCCAGCTTGAGTATGATGGAGGGGATGCTTACTTTCCTGTGCCAGAGGCTTTTTGGCAGGACGCAGTGTCAGCCTGCTGATCCTCAGTTGCCAGGGGAGAAAGAGACAGAGGCCGATGGGAACTGCAGAGAGAAAAATACTGTGCCCTCCTTTGACAGTAAAGAAATCAGCAGGACTGAAACTCCAAAGAAGAACACTGTATATATCCTTGTGGCACCTCCTAAGAGTCTTCAACAGGTAGGATAAAGCAGGAGACTGGACTTCTGACCTTTGTATCCATCACTAACATTAGGAGAGAGTTTTAAATTGTCCTGTGAGATTTCTCGACATCTCCTGGATGTGACATTTCAGAGCAACGCTGTTCCCAAGTACAGCCTCCCAGAGCTGCTGATCTCAGTGTTGTTGGTCTCTGTTTACCCACTGTTGGCTCACTGAGCTAAAGGCTATTTTCCAGAAACACATTGCTCTGTACTCAGACATCTACACCTGGAAACTACCAAGTGCAAACACTCTTAACTGACCAGCTCTACTGAAGCTGCAAAGGGTACCACAGTTAGAGCAGTCAATACACAGCGGAATACTTTCGAGTTCTAGCTGGAACATTTAGATGTTTAAACAGCTTATGCTTTAGCAAGATAAATAAAGTGCCTATCGGTATACCTATCAGCATTTGATAGATTTGATTAGGGCTGTTGAAATGTGCATCATACAATTGAAAATGACACAATCAGTATGGCTGCTTTTCATTCAGTGTAGTGTAGTTCCATCTGTGCTCTGATGATGCTTTTCAGGAATATGCCACAAAGAGAAAACAATCTTTCTTTATTGTGATCCTTCAACTTACAGTTACACAGTGGAGGGAACCTCATGTGTCTGTGTCTATATGTCCCAGGATCTAACTGAGACCACAATGAGTTAGACTATTTGTTAAGGATTGGGGGCTTTGCTAGTAAAAGGTGTCATGTTGTCAGTTGTACTGTGATAACATATGGTTACTTTAAAGACAAATGTACAGTCAATAGCTAATCAAGAGTGCTGCCATACAATTTAAGCTAGTTGTTTGACCAATGGACTTGTCTCCATCCTGTGAGTTAATTGTGCACATAGTTGTTTGTTTTTTGCTTAGTCAGTTGCTCCTCCTGGCTAACAGCACTAATGATTTGGAAAAGTATTGCTCAGGTGGATTCTGTGAAATATACCAAAATGTAGAGTACCACTTTGGTCTGCTCGTGCAGGTGTTCCTTCCCTCAGGTAGCCATTACCTGTCTGTGTGTATTCAAGCTCCAGCTCACTGTTAATCCTTGTAGAAATCCTTCCAGTTGCTTTAGCAGACTATATTGGCAGAGCATGGAAGGGACTGTCTTAGAGTACAGATAAGCTGAAATGTGTGATAGCTGTAAAGTGGTCTGAACTGCAGGCTGCGTCAACATTGCACAGATGACAGGAGATGGTGGAAGCTTCCACTCTGACCTTCTGTTTGTCACATCACTCTGTCCACAAAGCTATGGAGGAATCGGCTAATATCCTTTACAGTCACTGTATGTACAGCTAATGCAACAAGCACTACTGAGAATCAGTCCCTCAAAAGCTTCTATTCTCTCCTTATAGAAAATAGTGAAAGCAGGAGACAAGGACCTGGACGGACAGTTAGACTTTGAAGAGTTTGTCCATTATCTCAGAGACCACGAGAAGAAACTCCGGCTGGTCTTCAAGAGTCTCGACAAGAAGAATGATGGTAAGGAATCTTCTTAGAATGTGTGTTAAAAACAGATAGGACAAATACATGATCACACTGTCACAGGATGGTTAAGTATTGCATCATGAAGTATTGCACAAGAGGAGCAGAGCTTCAAGTCTAACCTCTAGACTTATTTTTGTGATGTAGGCCGGATTGACTCGCAAGAAATAATGCAGTCTCTGCGTGACCTGGGGGTGATCATCTCTGAGGAACAGTCTGAGAAGATCCTCAGAAGGTGAGAGAAATGCTGGGATCCACTTCTAATGTGTGTGTGTGTGTGTGTGTGTGTGTGTGTGTGTGTGTGTGTGTGTGTGTGTGTGTGTGTGTGTGTGTGTGTGTGTGTGTGTTTCTTTTTTATGTCTCTCTTTAACTACTCTTCCGTAATATCATTACGTTTTAACTCGGCTGCTGTTCTTTTCTACTCATGTAAACTTCTAATGTTCTATCCATTAGCAGCAACTGTCTCAGTGTGATCCTTGTCCAATCCCTCTAACCACTTCCTGTCTGTCCCCTTGTCTGTCTGTTCTTCTCTTTGGGTGCTCTCAGAATATGGAGGGGTCATATCTGGGCCCCTATCTTGTAGTAAGTAGCTTCTATAGTGTTAATCGTCAGTGCTAATCAGTCAGTCTAATTCAGTTACTGCAATTTATTTAGCTATTTCAGAATTACCAATTAACACAATGGAAAAACTAAGAAATGCTGTGTTAATACAGTGAATCAGGCACAGAGTGCAAGCAAAGCATCCTGCTGCAACAACAGAATGCACTTGAACTCATAGATGGAGCCATGATCACAGTATCACAACTTTGGAGAAGTAACAGTGCATGTGAGCAGACTGCCATCTTTGTTCTTTCTACTCTCTAAAACTGTCAGATTCATAAAAGTGTTTTATTTTCCTCCCCAGTATGGACAAAAATGGCACAATGACTATTGACTGGAATGAGTGGCGGGATTATCACCTCCTCCATCCAGCAGACAACATTCCTGAGATCATCCTCTACTGGAAACACTCCACGGTACACACTCTGCTTCAAAACCAACATTATGAGTCAAATCTCATCCCTCCTACTGAAATATACTGAATGAATAAGTGTGAGCAATGCATGAGAAGAGCAAGAAGTAAATATGTCTCCAGGATGTCACGTTAGAAATTATGAAAATACAATAGAAACATAAATAAACAGCCACTAATAGATGCTAATTGTATTAGCTTGCTTACCCTGAGATATGTCCTCCTCAACCTACCACCCACAAAAAGAGTAATAATTAACCCCATGAACAATATTTACCTTTGAACGGAGCAGATAATTAACCTTGTTTCACCTTCTGGAATTTTATAATGAATTATAATAATGATAACACTGAATCCTTTGTTAAGCCCAATGGAGCATGGAACATGCAGCAGTTTGAACTGTATCACACCGCACCGGCACATCAGTGTGCTGATCAGCGAGGATGTGTAGGGGGTGGTGCCAGACTGGTAAATAAAATCATGTGACCACAAAGCTTTGCTCACGTTGGCTGTCTCCCCTTTATCATCAGCACTTAACCCAGAGGCATGTTTCTCTTTGACTAGTCCTGTGAGGGGACCCCCAGACATGCAGCTCAGTTGCATTTCCCCCCAGTAGAGACTTACCTCTGCCGATGCGTGCTGTGCACTACATCAAACTAATATTGTATCTCAATATCAGTTTGACAGCATTTGTGTTTGATGGTATGAGTATGGTATACACTAACACCTTTATACTCTGCTCCCCCCTCAGATCTTTGATGTTGGTGAGAGTGTGTTGGTCCCTGATGAGTTCACAGCTGAAGAGAAGAAAACAGGAATGTTGTGGCGACATCTAGTGGCTGGAGGTGGAGCGGGCGCTGTGTCTCGAACCTGTACTGCACCACTGGACAGGCTCAAAGTACTCATGCAGGTAAAGTATGCACACTGATGACTTTACTAAACAAAAGGAAGATATTGAGTGGTCACAGTATGAAAACAAGTGGACTGTGTTTCCTGTGCTGGGCTCCAGGTTCACTCCTCCAAGAGCAACAGCATGCGTATCTCTGGAGGCTTCATGCAGATGATCCGAGAGGGAGGTGTGAGGTCACTGTGGCGAGGCAACGGCATCAATGTCCTTAAAATAGCCCCCGAGTCTGCTATTAAGTTCATGGCCTACGAACAGGTTTGCACCAATACAGCAATGACCCCAGTAAGAGCTGTATTTCCCTCACATTTTGTGCTGTTGCATGACATAAACATTCCTGTCTGTCAGATTAAACGATTGATGGGAAGTAACCAGGAGACGCTGGGCATTGCGGAGCGGCTGGTGGCCGGCTCTCTGGCTGGAGCCATCGCTCAGAGCAGCATCTACCCCATGGAGGTTAGAGACCAGGATCACTAATGCCTTTACCAGAGAGACCTCGCTAACAAAATAATTCTATTAATTTTGTCACTGTTTTGTAGCAACTTTTTTTTATTTTTGCAGTATGCAGAAACTGGATTATTTTTGTATTGTGACTGACTGCCCATTTGAACTTTTAGCCTTGAAACCATCATGTTCTGTACTGTGACCTCCTTTCTGGAGGAATCAGATCTTCACTCGCAGACTCACAGACCTCCAGTTATGTACAAAGTGTGAGCAAGTCATTTATGTAAATGAGGTTCATGACACCCAAGCTATTTAAATGTGAAAGATAATGCACGGCATATATATAATAGTCTATGTTTGTTGGACAAAGTGGTGTTTTCCTTCACCTGTCAGAAGGCCTGACGACCCTCTCTGTCCACTCGCTCAGGTCCTGAAGACACGCTTAGCTCTGAGGAAGACGGGCCAGTACTCGGGCATCGTGCATTGTGCCAAACATATCTTTCAGAAGGAGGGGGCGGCTGCTTTCTACAAGGGCTACGTCCCCAACATGCTGGGCATCATCCCCTACGCTGGCATCGACCTGGCAGTCTATGAGGTGTGTGTGGTGGTTGTCCTTCTGATGGCCTGTGGGGTACAACTGTCCCTGGGTCTGGTGGATTTTGTCCGGATGCTGCAGTACTGCCTGCCAACGGGAGCAGGCAGAACAGTTTGTTGCTGGGGTGATGGTGATGATACCTTCTCTTTGTTGTGTGGTTGAAAGTGACAGCTGTCCTCCCCTCTGCAGACTCTGAAAAATTACTGGCTGCAGCGCTTCGCCACAGACAGCGCTGACCCGGGGGTGTTCGTGCTGCTGGCCTGCGGCACCACCTCTTGCACCTGTGGCCAGCTGTCCAGCTACCCCCTGGCCCTGGTCCGCACTCGGATGCAGGCACAAGGTCAGTCCCTGCAGAACTCTCCTTTACTGTACACAGTGGTGGAAGGTAACCAAGTATATTTACCCAAGTATTGTACTTAAGTACTTTTTTGTACACATTTGTACTGTACTTGAGTATTTAATTTTAATGCCACTTTATACTTTTACTATGCTACATTTCAGAGGAAAATATTGCACGTTTTACTATAAACATTTACTAGTTACTTTGTACATGTGCAAATATGTTAATATGGCATAATGCGATACGGTACTACTAATCTACGCAGTATTTCACGTGTCAAAATTTGGTCCACAACGACAAACTACAATCCTTAAATGCTCTTGAAAGTAGAAAAACATTATAATATAATTACTATTATTATAACAAAGTACTAAGATCTATTCTGCATAAAAAGTGCTTTTACTGTTGATATAATGCATTTAGTTGATAATACTAATTTTGTACTTTTACTTAAGTAAAGGATATGGGTTATTCTTACAACACTGACAACTGCTGTCTGTTAAAAATGTATAAAGATATGATAAGGTTCAGGAACAGCCCCATCCATTGTTCTTATTAGTCAGTACTTTTTTGTAAGGACTGTACCTCAAGGTCCAACTGTACCTCAAGGTCCAACTGTACCTATTGCTACAACATTTTAGTTTCTTAAACCTCTCTTACTACAGCTGGACATAAGTCGTTTCTTATATCAATTTTCCAAAAGTCTTAAAAATGCTAATACATGGAAAGTAGGACTTTATGAAGCCTTTTTCTTACCCACAGTATGAGGTAACAGTAGCTAGTGCATGTAGGAGTACAACACATTTTGCAGGTGCAAGTAGATTCCAAAATATGCTAATGGTAATAAAAGATATAAGAGCTAGAACTAAGATAAGAATACAGTTCTAAATGTAAAGTTGATATAGTTGAAAATATTCACAGGTAGAAGGTAACTAAGTAGTTTTACTCCAGAACTTTACTTCAGTTGTACTTAAAGGTCCAGGTTGGAGCATCTGTGGTGTACGTGGTGTTTCAGGAGTTCACATGTGTTGGATCAGCCTGTCTCCCTCTGTTTTCCTCAGCTACCCAGGAAGGGGGCCCTCAAATGACCATGAGCACCCTGTTCAGACACATCGTTAAGACCGAGGGGCCCTTGGGACTCTATCGGGGCCTGGCTCCCAACTTCATGAAGGTCATTCCATCAGTCAGCATCAGCTATGTGGTCTACGAGTACCTCAAGGTCCAACTGGGGGTCCAGTCAAAGTGAGGAGGGGCAGAGGCTGGAGGCTGGCGGCTTTATGCGTTTTGTTTTGAGCTGAAGATTTGCTGCGTTGGCCTCCAAGAAACATGCAGCTGACACTCGACATATTCAAATCCCATTATGAAATATCAGGGTTTGAAAAATAAAGGTGAGGTGATATGAATGAAGAGGAATGAGAACCTGAAGGCAGAGAGGTTGATGAAGACTCGATTGAAGCAACTCATTGTAGTTACTCTTATATAAACATGTCTTGCGCAATTCAGGGGACAAATGTTTACATTAAATTCATGGCAGTAGTTTACTGGGGTACCAGCAACTTGCCAATGATATGTCAGGAGCTCCTGCTCAGTGTGAAGGGAGAATCTTTGTCTTAAAGGGCTCTGCTATAGCACATCACAGACATCATTCATGTTTTTCTTACACGTGCTCTCAGGCTCTCTCAGTTGGCCGCTTGCTGCAGCCCCAAGGACAACGATACAGTAGCTGTAGCTTAGTAATTCATACGCACACAAGATTGAATCAGGACCATAACGTTGTTTATGGAACATAACATTTCCTTTTGTTTTCCAAGGTCCAATGTTCCTTTAAATCCATTAGATCCATTCAGTCAGTTGTTTTAGGGAGCGAGATGTGACCGAGCAGGAAAGCAGCAACATGTCTCATCATGATGTGACTTCATTTGTTTAACAATGATTCACTGGAAAGCATGTTTTTAGGATTATATGTTGTGCTTTTTGACCTTATTATTCAGTCCAGAACAGGAGAGACAGGAAGGGGAGGACATGCAGCATTTGTACTGTTAAGGGAAACATTGTGAGATTAAGTGGACACTGCAGATTCTGTATTTTTAAGAAATAGCAGTATAAAATGTTGAGTTTAGTGTCACGGGACACACCTCCATTCTTCCTTATTCCTGTACAAAATATCAGTTAACATATGTTTTCTTTTAAAGCAGGCCCCCTCTATGCAGGTTTCAAATGAGTCATCAGGAAAAAATGTCGTCTTAGCTCGTGACATTTGAATATTTCACCAGTCGGCTGAAGACATTTCCATTTTTTCTTGTACGAAGTAAATACAAGTCCTTCATTTGACCTGCTGCAGCTCTCTGACTGCAGCTGCAGATCCACGAGTGCCTTGTGTGCCTCTTACTTAAATGCACTTGAACACTATTAGAGGGGAAGTCTGTGGAACATTGAATGCACTTTAAGGTACTCCGCTTTAACTCCTGATTTTATTATTATTAATGTATTTATGTATTTATTTTTACAAAAAAGGATTCATGACTGCATTTGTGATGTATTGGTTATGCTGAATAAATACAGGTCTCTTTGATTTCAGAGTAATCCGTGGTCTGAGAACTGGAAGTAATAGAAGTAATCTGACATGGTTTCAAAGAAATAGAATGTTCAATACAAAGTTAAACAAAAAAAAAGGAAACAATAATGTGAATAAGTGGAGTAGAATACTTAAATCAACCAATATTTTGTGTAATAGTTGGAAAATGATTAAAACTCAACTAATTATTGGGAAATGTGTTTTTGTCATCATTGATATGTTGTCATGTGTAAATGCAGTTGCAACCACAGTATCAACACACACATATTTATATCTACTGTACCTATGTCCCTCTCCACATACAGTCTCCTCCAAAACTATTGGGCGAGGCCAACTGCTTTATTTTAGCTCTACACTGAAAACAATTAGGTTTGACATCAGAAGATGAATATGAGACAAAAGGTCAGTATTTCAGCTTTTAACTCCAGGTATTTCCATCTAGATCTGTTAAACAACTGAGAAGAAAGCACCTTTTGTTTAAATCCACCCATTTTTCATGTGAGCAAAAGCATAGGAACAGAGACTTCAAGTGACCCTTTGACATCACCAAACTTTAGCATTCTTCTTTGTGATGCTCTTCCAGGCTTTCAGCGCAGCCTCTTTCAGTTGCTGTTTGTTTCGGGGGTTTCTCCCTTCAGTCTCCTCTTCAGCAGGTCAAATGCACGCTCAACAGGGTTGTAGTCTGGAGATTGACTTGGCCAGACCTTCCACTTCTTTTCCCGGATAAACTCCTTGGTGGTTTTGGCAGTGTGTTTGGGTCGTTGTCTTGCTGCATGATGAAGGATCTCCCGATCAGTTTGGTTGCATCCCTCTTTAAATTGGCAGACAAAATGTTTCTGTGGACTTCTGAGTTCATTTGGCTGGGGGAATACTCTTGTAGTTCGATGTGTGTAGAGGTGTGTGTGGTTAAACGTAGCAGCCTCGATCTCTATTCAGCTGTTCTAATGAAGGGAAACACAGTGAAGTAAACAGTAAAAGCCACAGCTCTTTGCCGCTGGTGCTGCTCTTCTCAGATTCTGCTGAGTTACACGTTACACCTTTGTGTCCATTCTATGGGCTTAGAACAGTCTCATAATACACACATGCACACAGAAGGATTCACACTTGTATTTCATGATCCGCAAAAGGATTCACACTTGTGTTTTTCAATGCACACACAAATATGTTCCGTTTCATATACATGTAAATAAAATCCAAATACAGAAAAAAGTTTTTACATATGTAGTTTTGATCCTCACATATTTGTTTTCCGTTTAAAAACACTGCACCTGTAAACACAAACCGCTTTCTGTGCACGGAACGCTGTGCATTTGTGTGTGTTTTTTTTTAGACTCCCCTGACGGTCACCAGATTCGTACTATCTATAGATGTCTCCTCAATTCTAAGCCAATCACATGAGCGCGCCCCCACGAGGGTAGATTTCTTGCGTTCATGACAGTAGTTATATTCATACGGCATCCATCACATTACTATGCATGAAAAGTGACAGGTGGTGTGACAGGTCACACCTCTCCCTACTTATGCTAATGAGCTAAGTCCCGCCTCCCTTTGTTCGAGATGGATGTCACACCTAGGTGTGATATCACACGTAGGTGTGAGAATCTTTGATGTGAGGGGTGAGGTGTCATAACACGTAGGTATGAAATGCCCCCCTGTGTAGCGCCTTTGTTGTCTAATCCTTTGATGTGAGGGTTGAGGTGTTATAACAGGCAGGTGTGATTTCACACCGGCATGTTATAAGCCTCTGATGTTAATCTAGGTGTTGATTAAGGCAGTCTCTTTGAAGATGTGTGCGAGACTGTCTCGCCCCCGTCCCCTCACAGCCCTTTGTTGTCTAATCTAATTAGCCTTTGATGTCTGTCCTTTGATCTGAGGGTTGAGGTGTTATAACAGGCAGGTTTGATTTCGCACCGGCATGTTATAAGCCTCTGATGTTAATCTAGGTGTTGATTAAGGCAGTCTCTTTGAAGATGTCCGTGAGACTGTCTCGCCCCCGTCCCCTCACAGCCCCGGCCTCTCCCCCTTTCTCCACCCCTTCCTGTCACACGCTGTGAGGCCAGAAGATAGTGGGGGTGGAGTTAGGTGGGAAAAAAGAAATCTGTGCAGACTAAATAAAAAGCCATTAATTTTCACTCACTAAATCACCTAAAA